AAGTCTTGTTTTATATGATTTCCCCTTTTGTTAATTTATAATAGAAGTGAGAAGTGTTATGAAATGATCAGTTTCTAAAATTAAAATCCACACCCAAAGCATAAAACATATCCTCTACCCTGACTCTCAGCCCCCCAAGGCTGTGTGCTTAGCCCTGTCCTCTACTCCTTATTTACCCATGATTGTGTCGCCAGGCATAACTCAAACTCCATCATTAAGTTTGGGGACGATACAACAGTCATCGGCCTGATCACAGATGGAGAAGAGTCTGTGTACAGGGAGGAGGTTGAAACCCTGGCGGCATGGTGCCAGGAGAACAACCTCTCTCTGAACATTAGTAAGACTAAGGAGATGATTGTGGACTATAGGAAACACCAGGGAGGAGATCACATACCTTTTTATACCAATGGGACTGCAGTGGAGAGGGTTAGCAGTTTTACATTCCTGGGAGTTATATCACAGAGGACTTAACCTGGACCCACCACACGAACATCATGGTCCAAACAGCACAGCAGTGCCTGTCTTATCTCCGCAGGCTAAAGAAGTTCGGCATGCCGTCACATACAGTACCCAGACCAACTTCTACAGGTGCACTATTCAGAGTATCCTGACTGGCTGCATCACTGCCTGGTATGGGAGCTGGTCCGCCCGGGATCGCAAAGTACTGCAGAGGGTGGTGAAGTCAGCGCAGCTCATTACCGGCTGTGAGTTACCAGACATCCAGGATGTCTACTCAGCTAGACGTCTGAAGAAGTCCAGGTCCATTGTCAAGGACCCCAGTCATCCCAGTCACAAACTGTTTTCCCTCCTTTTTAAAGACATTTCATTGCCAGCAACTACTGTTGTATGCTGTATTGTATTGCATTTGATAAATAAACTTTGATTGACTGATTGAAAACAGTCAGGATGAGTAGCAAGAAAACGACAAAACCGCTGGGCTTCCCGACAGAATACTGTCCGAGCAAGTCACTTACTGGATTTATATCCATGAAGGTTTCATGCTCCTCTTTATTGGGCTTCATCCCATGGATGTCATGAACAAATTGCTCTTCCGCCTGGTAGAAATGTGGAGAGGACACAATGATGGGTGCATCTGTTCAAGAGAAAAGGCGAAAAATGCTGTGAGCTTGTGGTAATTTTCTCTTTTCCCCAACTTAAGCGATAATACATTATGCACTGGTTCAGCCATGGCAGACAAAAGTTCCACTACCGCATGTTTCGTAAATGTAACTGACGCAGGATTTGGCATCTGTTAAAATTACGTACTGTTTAGTCAGTAAGTCCCTATACAACATTATCCTATAAATTGCAAAAATAAAGTTTTAAAAGCCTCCTGATTTTTGTAGGACAGTCTGGGTTTGTGTATACTTATCCACTTTCTAACCGTTTCAGTGGTTTTGTGGAAAACACTGCAAGAACAAAATCTAAAAAAGAACCCAAAAATTAATAATTGATTGGTAAGCGGGTTTTAGTGATGCACCCAAGGAGGTTATTACTGTGCACTGAGCAGTGCAGATTTATTCATACCCCTGGTGGAACAGGTACACAGCCATATTTGTCATGGAAGGATTTTGGTTATGACTAATATGACTTTGATCAGTGCAATGCTGTTACAATTACAAGACAATGTTCTTAGATGTTTTAATGCGGGGCATACTATCCAGTATGTTATATATAATCCCTTCTCCTGAGTTGAAACTGCTGTTTTCTAGCAGCTCGGATACTTCAGAAACCTGAAAGACGGAGTGTGGGATCATGGGGGAGGGGTTGGGACTCTGCTGACAGCTGGAAATCATTGGTACCTTGTTTGCAGACGCTGACATTTAAAAGCCCCGCAGGAAGACAGTTCCCAGGTGGAACGCAAAACCCCTCATTCTCCGTGGAATTAGCAAAAACCTCTTTAGGCACCACAAAGCGCAAGGCAGGTAGATCTTTGATATAGACTTCCTTTTCAAATGTAACATACAGGGATCTGTAACAGAATGAAAACAGCTTTAACCCTCTGAAAAGAAACGTATACTCAAGCCTGACTGGAAGACGACAGGCATCACACTGCCTGAAACATCTTTTAAAACTCGGAGCAAAAATAAGCAGGGATCTCGCTACAATTTAGAATCTACTAAAACAAAAAAAGACACGTAGTCTGTGGTTTTCTTCAGGAGGATGATGATATCTATAATCTATGTCACATGCAGAAAAGGACGTTACGCTTTGTTGTGGCAGATGGTCAGCACTGTATGACTGAAATGATGCAATGCACTGAAATTGCTGTGCTGCACATTTTAAAACAAAAACAAAAAGTGCAGAAGGTCACTATTAGCAATTCTGAAAGATGGATAGTATCAATGTAAAATCTCGCTTTCTTTTTTTTTGCTCTGACGTTGTATGTTATTCTTTGTTTAAGTAGCTTACGCCCTCCAATCCTACGTCAAAGCCAATTACATCCTTTCACTCACTAACGGACTGGGCCAAACACCATCTGGCAGACCTTACAGCAACAGCTGTAGAGAAGCCAACAGCATCCTCACATGACTCACACTGCACAAGGCCAGGCTGACCGGTTGGAAGAACACAGGGAAATAAAACGGTCAACACTGATGGACAAACCTGCAGATGTCAGAAGCAAAGATCTGGAGTGTTTCATTCTTGGTTATGAGAGGGTGGAAGGAGGCTGCGTTAGTCCCGTTGATCGCGTTACAGGTTTCGGTGCTCCACCACTGCAGAGAGCTGGGAGTGGCACAAAAACAGAACAGCAACATCATCCACACGGACAGTAGGGTTGGATAGTACCAGACAGATAAATCTCCCATTCCCTTCTCTCCTTTCAATGACCATTTACCTCCTGCTAAAGCACATTTTTATGGCTTTCATGAACCTTTGAAAAATCTAGATAACACCAAATACCTTCACCTACCGGTAAAAAGATTTAATTGGATATATTTGTTGTCCAGTTCTTGTATTCTTGAGGGATCTTAACCGATTTATGGATATAAACAAGCGCCTGACATTTTGGAGGCAACATTTGTTCTTCAGCAGGTAAGCAGATGTTAGAAAAAGAAAGCAAAAAGACTTTAAGGCCCATCTAGTGAGGTGTATGGTTCAGTACACTCGTTTTCTGTACAATTAGATGTATAGTTGTCTCTGCACTGGAGGGTACAAGGTCACACCCCTTAATGCTCTTGGTTCTTGGTAGAGCAAGTGTGTTTCACTTCTGGAATGACAGGCTTTTAAAATCTTTTAAAGTTGACCTACAGAATGCATTTGCTTTGGAAAATGACTGAATCAGATCAAGTAATCCTCACAAGTCAGTAAAGGCACTTAATCCATCCACCCATCCATTTTCTGATCGCTCTATCCAATACAGGGTGGAGGGGGAGCTATCCCAGCAAGCAATGGGTGCAGAGTTGGATGCATCCTGGATGGGACTCTAGCCCAGTGCAATGCACACTCTCGCACCAGGGTCAAATTCCCCAGAAAACCAATTCACATACTAGTACATCTTTGGACTGTGGGAGGAAACCCATGTGAACACGAGGGGGACATACAAACTCTGCGCAGACAACACCCCATGTCCAGAATTGAACACAGAGCCCAGCACCGTGAGCCTGGCAATGCTAATCACTGCGCCATCTAATATTGCAGCATATTACTACAGCCAATACCAGTCAAAGCTAAAGGACTGAGGCACTTCAAAATGAAGGCTGAAGGCCCCTGATGCCCACGAAGGAAAATGGCAGAAGAAATGCGAGTCAGTCAGGCTTTACACAAACCAAATGATAAGCTTTTTTAAGAACTTAAGGAACAGTCAGTAAAAATCTGACCTTCAAGGAAAATACTGTCCCCAATGCAATGCCATTTTTTCTCTTTACCTCTGACCATTCCATTCCACGATTCGGGCAAAGTCCTTATAGTTCTCTTCTCCGGATAGGATCACATATTCACCATCAGCAGTGGCGTTTTTCTAGAAAGTCACACATTAAAAATGGGGCATCAGTAGAGTCCCGTTTTCATCTGGGACAGAACCACACACGGACTGCAGGAAGGCTGCCTTCTGTTCGGTGTGACAGTGTCACACCAAACAGAACAATCTCTAATAATCATTCTTATTCTTAAGGAAGCAGTGTTTCTAATTACTGCCTTTTTGACTCCATTGTAAAGAAAAGTCTGTGGTAAATATTTGACATTTCAAAGCAAACTTGTGGCAATGCATGCATGTCATGAAAGCACGCTGGACTCAGAACACCCAGCAAAAACGACTGTGTTCCAGTGGCACAGGGAGTCATATACACTCACAGCTTCAGTGTGACAAAATCAGTCACATTATTGACAAACTGTCTTTCATAAACCATGGCCACAGATAACACATAACACTGTGCCTTGGGGCAACCTTGTTGTGAAAGGAGCTATGTAAAAATACATTGAATTGATAACGGATATCTTTATAGATACAACACTCAAAAAATGAATCACCAGTAGACCTACACAATAACTACCAGCAGTCAGTTTTTGTCTTTTCAGCGGCCAAATTCTTTAATACAATTAAATTCTCCTTCAAACTAGGACAAGCCCCTGCCGATTCAGTCATTAATTAAGCCAGTTCTGTATTTTGCTAGACCTCCTTACAAATTGGTCTTGAACATAAACCCACCTTTGTTTTATCCTGAGCAGCAACAAACCTACTCACCTTATAAAAAAGCCCAAAGGATTCCTCCACTTCTGGACGGAGTTTATGAATGACGGACAGCAAATCATCGATATACCCCCACAGCAGCTCATGAACCGTGCGGGTTGTGAAAAGGCCAATATTTTTGGACTTCATGTAAGATGAGATGATGTTACTGATCAAAGAAGATGTTTTAAATTTTTCCATCACTGTCTGTAAAAAAAAAAGATAAAAAGGTTAACTGTGTATTTTATAATTTAAAAAAAACAGGCAAATACACATGCAGATAAAGGCATTTACCCTTGACAGAGATTCAGTCTTTCCAATGCAGTGAAGCTTTAAATTAGATAAGATCCATCATGGCCATCTCTATTCATGATTTTTCTATATACAGCTAGTCGTACTACGTGATGTTTTTGTTCTGTAATTCCTCTTTGGGTACGCATCTTACTGTCCTTGTATTAATGTTACTTTTAATTCATTACAGTGTTGTCTTTGACATTTTTCTTCAGTTTCTGCAGAGATTTGGCTTATAAAACTGAAACGATGGGATGGGATATTAGCTGTGTCCTGGTTTCTCTAAAACAAAGCAATGCTATAAAAGAAGGAAAAATGCTAAAGCTGAATATTGTGCAAGTACCAAAGTGCCAATCACCCACAATGCCAATCTCTTACATAGAGGATGTAATTGACCTCATTTTCTGTAGACATCAACTTAAGACTTTTTACCCACTTCTGTTATATAAATGTCAGCACAATGATGCACATTTATTTAAAGAAAGATGTCATCACAGTTCAGCTCTCACAGATGCAGTATGAAACTGATATTTCCCTCGTGTTCTGAAGATTTCACAAGCACAGACGTGTCGAAACGTATCACTTGAGGGTGACTCGAAGGCAGGTCAGATTGTGCAAGATCCCCTAAGGAACTGCAATCTGGACCCCAGGGATGGCACACCTACAGTACTCTTACAAACCGTTATATGGACTCTTTAACGGGCAAATAGTTAGGACTTAATTTTGTCATCCTTTTACATTCTGCTGACACTACCTTTGAAAAAACATAGATAGGAACCACTGAGTTCATTGTGCTCTTAATACTTCTAACCATGTTTCCATTGTCCACTACTGCTGTTTTTGAAAAACACTTCATCAGGACAGTTGAAAGAATGTGCTGGATCTGTCAGGGTGGAAGAGCTGCAGTGAATCTGGCTTTCCAATAGAAAGCTACAGAGTATCTTACCATCTCCTACTTTATTACTGTACTTCTGATTTACTGAAAACCTGCCCAAGGACACATTCACACGAGGGTCAAGATATGCACTATGGCAGGCAAAACCAAATAATTCCAAAAGGCACAAAGTTCACCTATGTGGGTTAATGAATTACTCTTTAAAAATAGACTGACACGGAATACCTGAATTGTTAATTATAGCATCGGAATTTTATAAATGACAGTTTTCCAATTTACAAAACATGAAACACCTGTTAAATTGCTTGAAAAACGGACACAGTAACCTTGATAGGTGCCTGTCACCTGACGTTCTTATTTTGTCTTTTAATTCCTTGTTAAAGGAAAGGGAGATTTATTAAAAAAATACGTTTTAATCTTGGGTCGATTTGACCTTTGAGCATTATACAGTATATCCGTTTTGAAGACAGTAAACCTAAAGCAGAAAACCTTAGGTTTCCGAGAGGTGGAACTCAGCCCTCACAGATCAGACAGCAGGGGTCAATTAGAATAGAATCCACTTAAAAAGTGGAGAGTTCTGGTCAGGGGACAAGGATGATGGAACGGACAGAGATCTACATTGAGAAACTTTCCCACTGGGTGATTTTATCATCTTTTTTGTGAAATACCTCTTGCAAAACACGACCTATGGAAGCCCGTTACCGCCAGTGAGTAAAAAAAAAACGCACTATAGTATCTCAGAATTCCGATTCATTGCCAATGCATTGAGGCACGAACTAGGGTGGGAGCGGCGAGGGCACCAGCCCGAGAACCCAGGTCCGTTACAATAACAAAAGGACAGACGATGAAATGTGGGCTATTTCGAAGTCGCAATTGCGAGATATAAAGTCGCAATTCTGAGATACCAAGTCGCAATTGCGAGATACCATAGCGCAGGGTTTTTTTTACTCCCTGGCGGAAACGGGCTTCCATACACGACCAGATAATCTGCTTCTGAAAAGACTTTTACATTTACAGAGCTGACGTGGTAGACCAGGAAGGGAGGACATTAACACCTACCAAAGCAGGAATATTGGCAGTCCTGATAGGATCGTCCTCTCGGTGTCCTTCGGACATCTCGGGCACAAACACATAGGTTTTCGGATTCAGAGCAGATATTTTGGTACTGTTCTCCAAAAAATGCACATTCTCCATCGGCCGGAATTCCCTACGAAACAACAATAATCATACTTTAATTGAAAGCTTATTACGGGCAGCACAGGAGCAGGTAAGCCTTTAGATACAGGATCTGGTCAGGATTGCAGGTTCAAATCAGGTTGCAGGTTCACTGCTGGTGCTCCTCTGAGGGAGGTACTTCACTGTGGCTGTGTCACTGGGCCCAGGAATCACTGGGGTCATCCCTACAATGGCCAGGCATTCATTGCTCTGGAGTCGCTTGCTGTCTAGTCCACTTAACACTACAGAACAGAGGGTGGGCTCTGGGCCAGCAAGCCACCGTGAGCTAGTCAGTGTGGTACATTATATTGGCAATATGGGGAGTAGGTGGGGCTCCACATTGGTGGTGGTGGAGGGGATCCCCATTACACTGTAAAGCGCTTTGAGTGCAGTGTCCATAAAAGCACTATATAAGTGTAAGGAATAATAATAATAATAATATGACAAGCCTGACAGAATGGGAGCAAGGCCCTTAACCCCAGCTGCTCCAGGGGCATAAATGGCTGACCCTGCGCTCTGACCCCAAGCTTCTCTCCCTGTCTGTGTCTCTCACAAAGAGCAAGCTGGGGCAGACTGGGGTATGCGAAAAGACAAATTTCTAATACAAGAAATTGTATATGGCCAATAAAGTGATATTATAAACTCATAGGTCTTTCGCCACACATGAATTTCAGGGTTCGGTACTCTTCAAGTGAACTGTATCGTGACCCTTGGTCTAGTTGTGCACTGCGAGTCGGTGTGCCAGTCAGCACTGTAGCAGGAGGGGCAGATTACCAAACTGCAGGCGTTCCGTGTGAGTCTCGCACATTTCCTCGCTGGCAGGCTGACAGGCACTGCGTACAATGACTGCTGTATTGCAACAACAATCCTCTGACTGTGCAGGTGGGTATTTCTTTAAACTGCTCACTGCTTGTCATTCTGCACCGAGGTCAAGTTAAGAGCGCACAGCCAACAGTTCGATGCTGGTTTACTTCCTCTAACACGCTCGGTTTATCCATCGTCAGAAAGCTGCCTACTCCTAACAAGGACAGAAAAGGCCCAGAGCCCACTCAGTAAGCCCAGGGTGAGACTACATTCTGAATAATGCAAATTACAACCACAAACTGACAATTAAGGGACACCACGGATCCTAGCTAGCATGTTTTTGGAGGTTTGGTAGCATCCTGGAACTCCCAGAGAAAAAACATGTGAACTCCACACAGACAGGCATCCCAGTCTGGACCCAAGGGCCTGACCACCTGGCCTTGTAAAGAAAATGCCACAACACGGAAAAGATGAGTAACCCTTGGAAAGGATCTTCTCCTTCTGTCCCGGTAAACCAAAATCGAAAACTGACTTCATGGTAAATAAAGACAAACAAAAAGCAATTCTGTGGACAACGACTGTAATGGTATGCCAAGCACATAGAAACTACAGAGTACACAGTAGATCACGCACAGAAAGAATAAATGAAATAATAGGAATAAGCTGGTAAAATAACGTACAGTGCCTTGCAAAAGTATTCACCCCCCTTGAAACACCTCAACTGGACACAGGCGGACCCCAGTTAAGTAATTCTGTGACTTGGAGAAGAGAGTTGGTTACTTCTGAGGTGACCGGTGTGTCAAAGCAAGGGGGTGAATACTTATGCATTCAAATAAGGAAAATTTTCTCCTTTTTATTTTTAATTTAGTAAAGTTTGCCATTATAGAGTACTTTGTGTTGATGAGTGGCAACATTTCTCAAGTTAAATACATCCTGGTTCCACGCTGCAACACAATCAAATGTGAAAAAGTGCCAGGGGGGGTGAATACTTTTGGAAGGCACTCTACCTTTCCAAAAGCATCCGGAAGTGCCCACTAGTGTTTCACAGAGCCCCTGTGAAAAAGAAAAGAGAATGGGTCTTCACCTGTACGTGTAAGGTCCGATCTGCTCCACGGCTGGGCTCTCTCCCTGGAGCACCTCCGCGGGGTTGGTCAGGTTGAAGAAGTAGAACTGCATGTACACTGGAGGGGGAGGGTTCTGCCAGGCCTCAAAGGCATCTGTGCCGTTCCTCAGAACTATTTCCTGCAGCACAAGGGGGCCACAAGCAGACTCAGGAGAACATTCCTTTTCGCCAGCAGCTCTATCACACTGAGCTCACAGCTCACAGCTGGCAGCCCACTGGAGCTCAGCAGGTGTGAGCCTGGCCAGTACCTGGATGGGAGACCCCCTGGGAAAGATAAGGTTTCTGCTGGCAGAGGTGTTAGTGGGGCCAGTAGGGGGCATTCACCCTGCTGTCTGTGTGGGTCCTAATTCGGATGAGATGTAAAATTGAGGTCCTGACTCTCTTTGGTCATTAAAAATCCCAGGACGTTTCTCGAAAAGATTAGGGGGTGTTACCCCGGTGTCCTGGCCAAATTTCCCACTGGCCCTTACCAATCATGCCCTCCTAATAATCCCCATCTATGAATTAGCTTCATCACTCTGTTCTCCTCCCCACTGATAGCTGGTGTATGCACTATGTAGTTGCTGTCATCATCCAGGTGTACACTGGTGGTGGTGGTGGAGGGGAGTCCTCATTACCTGTAAAGCACTTTAGGTGGAGTGACCAGAAAAGTACTATATAAGTATAAGGAATTACTATGATCCTGCAAAGGAATGTACTCCAATCGTGCAAAAATCCTTAAGAATAACAACACGAAAAGGATATGGTTAATTACACACTTTAGTTCAACCTACTTGAAATTCTCACTTCACATGCTCAACGCACATCCGCGTGATCTCCAATTTGGCACACTTATCAAGGCGGTAAAGTTACCCCTAGATGTCAGCTAGCAAGCGGAGAATGGTCTCATTTTAATCATGTCATACTGGCTGCAGTCTAAAAGTTCCATCTGCTGTAAATCTTTCACAACCATCTCTCATTTATGCACATTAGAAATGCCCCACTTTAAAATAAAACAAACCATGTTGTTGTCATCAACTGTGAGGGAAGAGCACAAGCACACAGCAAAGTCAGATGACAACAATTTTGACAATTACACTTTTAAAACTAGCACACAGCATGAAATACAATAATAGCAGATAACACTCCCAGTGTGAATAATCTATAGTGGATAATCATAAAGAATGACAGTCTATTTCTTCTTCACTTGGTACCGTTTCCACTTAGTTTCTTCTTGAAAACGCAAAATGACATTTAAAATTAAAAACTGAGAACAGGCAGTGATTCTTTCTGCAAAGAGTTGTGGGGGTATGGAAGAAGCTACCCACTCATGTTGTTGAAGCCACAGATAAAAGCTAATAGATCCCAAGATCTCATCCAGCTATAAAACAAAGCAGACGAGCCCAAGGATCTCCTCTCATTTGTAACCTTTCAGAAATGATTAAAATTTCCCATAGGCAGTTGTACTTGTGACTGACACAAAAGTACAGTGAGTCACAGAAAGAAAGCACTGACACACAAGAGTCTATGGACAGCGGCATTTATCATGACAGTTTTATATGTTGTGCTTATTTAACAGGATGCCTTTCCACGTGACGTGGATTCAGGACAGTATTTGAAAGTGGTATAAACTCCACTGAACTCCACTGTAAAACCACCGTGACAGACAAAAGACACATAAAAGCAAGTAAAAACAGAAACAAGAACCGAAAAGGTTTAGCCTGTAGTCAAGGTCAGTGTGGGTGAGGTTAGTATTTCTAATCCCATACACCTACCTCAAATTGAAACATTTCACTTGCATTTTTAACACAGCACTGTAAAAACAGTGATAACAGACTCCACGGCCAATATGTGTGTTTTCTTTCTTCTCTTTTCAGCATGGAATAAACCTATTATTTCTTCCTTTGAAGCTTCTCTGTAGACAACTTTAACATGTAAGTTTAAATTTAAATGATCGCGTTAATCACAATGATTGCTTTTATATAGCAATTCCCATCCTAATAATATCGACCCATACAGTACGGTATAGGAGATGATCCACTTCCTCCCCTACTGAACTCCAGAAGCCACCTGCCATCGAGCTGGCCCACACAGCAGATGAAGAGGAAAGGTGACAAATTATTACTTCACCACCCGGATTAAGGGGAAATTTCGGAAAAATCAAATGGCCCCATCACGCCCGGAAAGGAATTTTGCCAGGACACTGGACACATTCTTTTGAACAGTGGCATGGAATCTTTAATCACGATCAATCCAGTCGCCACACTGGAGGTCTGGATGGGAAATTCAAACAGAAGAGAGACACCCACTGCTGCAGTAACGTCGCTTCACAACAGCACCCTGGTTTTCTTCAGGGCACACTGGTTCCAGCACTGATCCGGCCCAACTCAGCTCAGATTCTGACATCTAACGAGATCACGTGACCAGGTGGTACTGGAGCTGTCAATACATACAGTATAACTACTAGTTCAAAAACTTTGCAAGAGAGCTGTTGACAGCCATTTCCAGGACTGCTCTGCAGCCATCTTGCCTGAATCGCTTAGTAGTTTTGCCTTGTTGCCACAGTCCTTTCACTAACTTAACGTACCTGAGACTGGCACTGCATATAACTCTTTATGTTCCTACTTGTGAGTCATCTTCCACTCTTAAGTATGAAATTCAGTGCTTGTTGGATGCAAGCACTGACTTGTCCTCGGAGCTGAAACTCGCTTAAGGCTTAGATACGCGTTTAGAATGAGGTTTCTCAGCTCTTCCACTCTAGCTGACTGACGACGTCCAGCCTGGACAAACAGAACATTATTAGACTCAAAACAAACAGCAGCACACTGAAGGGGGGAGAGAAAAGCCGTATGCTGTCATTTCCAACACGGCAAAGTTATCACAGTGCGCCCAATCACCACACCCAGAAAACGACAGGCTACGTACTGTACAGTATTCCAAGGTTCAGGGGAGAGAGCTAACTCAGCAAGCAAACACGACTGAAGGTGACTGCAAAACTGAAACTCAGTTTTTCTTCTTTCGCTTTTACTTCAAAATCAAATTAACCTCTGTTTTCGCCTTTACATACAGTATGGACTCTAATTGTTACCCTAGCATCTTCATCTGAAACGAAATTCTCCAACGTGTTTGATACGTGCCAGATGAGAGTGTTCATAATAAGAGTACTGTGGGTGCAGTTTAAAGAAGCCCTTCTGTGTTTGTGGAAGGCCATACACCACTCCAGACAATGTTTCTCCGCCATTCCAGAAACGATTAGTTTGCCCGTTAACGTCCGTGCAGCGTAGAGGTAGAAAACGCAATGTAGTGTCTTAGCCCCCTATGGATATTCAGCAACATGACTATCAGTCTTCCAGAAACACTGTAACCCAAACGATTTAGCGCCACTCGCGTCACAAAAAGAATTACTGGGACAGAATTCAAAAATGCACATTTCAGTTTTAGAAGAAATCAAAACCCACTTGTTTCAGTACTTGGAATTGCATTAGAATTCCATAAAGGTTTAAGACTGCAGGGGGAAATGCTGTGTTTTAATGCTCAGAACACAAGTTTACGTTACAAGTAACAAAATGAAAGGGAAATATCACTTGACCCATTTTCTGTAGGCGGTATGGCAGGTTTTTGTTTGCCCGTTCTTCGAGAATAGACGGCTTACAAATAACAGCGCAGGCACTACAGGAGAATTTACTGCGTCCGAATAACGCAGAGCGCCCTTTCATATAAACGTAACGTTGGAGTAAAATGCATAATTGCTGATCTTAATTGTGCTAAAAATACCAATTTCAACTGTTTTGATTCAAGACTACAAACTTTGTAATAAACCTTCGCTACGACATAAAACGAGACAAATGAAGCTTATGTAGCCTACTTACCCGTTTTATTCGGGAGTTCAAGGCGTTTTGAAACACTTGTGCCAAAACCAAGGCGATGCCCGTAATTAGGACGGCTATAGAAAGGATCCCAATCAGGTAAATAAAGTAAAATTTCTTGATCATCGTGGCTTCTCAAACTATTGTTACAGAATAAAAACTGAGATCGAACACGCCAGAGGAGCAATGTCCTGTACTGCAACGACGGATAACCACCTCGATAAAATTACAGGCTCCACTGCTGGCTGACTTGTACTTCCATGTTTTTAATTCTTAAAAGAAGATAAATTCTCCGTTTCGTTTCCGCTCACATGACAGCATAGGTTTCGAAACGCCCTTTCTCTATTCACAATAATCTCAGCACTTTCACTGTGAAACAATAACCGAACATCTGGTTGTCGCACATAAATGACGTTTCAGAAAAACAAGATTTGGCGACCAATGGTGTGTGTCGTCTATCATAAATCTTGTAGATTACGGGTTATTATGACATACACGAAACAAAATGATCTAATTTTACACCCCTTTAATGCTTTTAATGTGGAAATGCAGTATCATTTAAACTCCACTAAATACCTCCGAAAATGTTTTTATTTATATTGATATAGCCAGCAGCTATATCGCTGGAGGTGTGAGTCTGGTCAGTGGATACCATGACACTGTCTGCGTTGGTGGTATAGTGGTGAACATAGCTGCCTTCCAAGCAGTTGACCCGGGTTCGATTCCCGGCCAACGCATCGGTGAACGTTTTAGCTGATGTGTGGTTGGCGCTGTGCGGCTATATTTTGGTGGTGGAGAGCAGTCCCCATTACCTGTAAAGCGCTTTTGAGTGGAGTCTCCAGAAAACCGCTGTGTAAATAATAATAATAATAATAATAATTGCCTACACTTATATAGCGCTTTTCTGGACACTGCTGTCTGTGTGGGTCCTAATCCCTCCGTATAGTGACGGGGACACTATACTGTAAACAGGCGCCGTCCTTCGGACGAGTCGTCCCGAGGTCCAGACTCTCTGTGGTCATGAAAAATCCTAGGGCGTTTCTCGAAAAGAGTAGGGGTGTTACCTCGGTGTCCTGGCTAAATTTCCTCCTGGTCTTTACTTATCATGGCCTCCAAATAATCCCAATCTATGAATTGGCTTCATTACTCTGCTCTCCTCCCCACTGGTGTGTGGTGGGCGCTCTGGCGCATCATCCAGGTGGGGCTGCACATTGGTGGTGGAGGGGAGTCCCCATACCTGTAAAGCGCTTTGAGTGTAGTGTCCAGAAAAGCGCTATATAAGTGTAAGCAATTATTATTAATGCTAACTGCGCTGTACAAATGTGCGGAGTTAAACTGGGAACCAGATCTTTCTGGCCTGGAAAAGAATTAAACTGAGGTGGGGGCAGAATAAATGTACTACATATTCCACCTTCTTATCACCCGGTTAAGGACCGACCCCTTGCAAAAATTATCCAAATTGCATAAACGAGTAAAACTGGTGTTTCGCACAAGTGTATGGGATCTGTAAAGGAAGTCCTCTAATCTACGCCTCAATTGTTTGAACTAAGTACCAGGAGAGACCAGGAAAAAACATCCGGGGACTTCACCGTTTCCTAGCAACGACGCTGTGTACAGTCCGACTCGCTTGTCAGTCGTGTCGTTGTGCTCAGACTTCTGTTTTTGTTAATGCAAGATATGTATGTCTAAATTACCTTCTTAGTTTGGGCGTGGATTTTTATGAAGACTCCTACTGAAACAGTTTTAAATGAGTGGTACAAGATTATTTCCCGTTGCTCAGTCGGAAAGCACAGTTCGACGGCACCCATGGTAAAAGATTTATTTATCTAGTTCAACTTTGTGTTTAAAACAGTGCAAAATATATATATATAACAGAACATGTTTGGTTAAGGTCTGGAAGGTGATGAGCTTTGTTTATGCTAACATGTATCTGCTGTTGATTATCAATCAATCAGAGTACTCTGGGTTATTGAATTAAGAGGTTTTCTAATTCCTAATTAAAATATTAGAATCAGTAAACAAAATGCAAGCTTCCAAATAAGTTATAATATTCATATAAACTGTTATCTGCAGGTACAAGGAAAGGCTAAAGACAAAATATCTCAAAGAGACAAAGAACAAACAGCAGCTTTCTGGAGCCCTGAATTCACATTGCTGGCTGTTCTTAAAACCCGGGCTGGATGATGTCCGAGATGGGTATCCACCTCCTGTAGGGGATGAGAACTTCACCCGGCCCCAGAAGGGCCCTGTTCCTGTCATCCACGGAGCCGAGCCCTCCTTCAGCACCAGCGAAAAGATGCCCAGGAAGAGATTCTCTAAGCAGCAGGTGTGCTTCTCGAAACTCACCCCGATGCAGCAGGCCCGGAGAGAGCACATTGCCGAGGTCGAGTACGGACTCACCCAGCACCCACTCGCTCTCTATCCCCACCTAGAGGAGGGCATGTGTCCAGAGGTACGTTTCTGTGCCTCCAGTGCTGAAACACATGACTAGTGCATTGCAATGCTTTAACCTCCTCTAATGTCAGTTCTACACCTAGACATTCCAAGGTTCATAGAAGATGAAAGTAATGTGTCAGTATAAATGGTTTTTATCAGCAGCTTCTTTAAGCTCAGTGTTTTCCATCTGATATTCAAGATTGATTTTATTTCTACCTTGTGCAACTTAACTCACTATAGCAGAATCTAAATCATTGCTGGAAATGAGGAAAAGCTGTGGTTCTCATGCAGCTTCCTCTAGTAATCTACTGCAATCTGATCATTCACCCCTTCTTCTGTACTGTTTTCTGGTCAGTAATCAGTTCTCAATTAAAAGCGTTTTTACCTTTATCTTGGTGTTTATAAATTTATTCTAACTTCCTCCTTAACTGTAACTGTTATAGAAGAGTGTGTGTTTTTGATATGGTATACTTATTTCTAGATTGCTTGAAATGCAACAAACACTTAACCTTACTTGCATTAAATAAATTAAAAAAATTGTGGGTTGACTCTGACAGGTTTATGATCTTTGCCATGTGACTGCAGGCTTGATACTTTCCTTTGTCTGTCACTTTCCACTGCTGATAGATTGCCATTATCTCATCTAGCTTTTGGACAAGGTAGTAGATGTCCTTGACCCAGAGATGCATTTGACCAATGAGTTAGGATCTTGCACTCCAGACCTTGAAGAAAAGAATGAGGAGGACTCATCCAGCCAGTGTGAAAGAATGAACCTAAACCCATCAGGGTCAAATCTGAGCACGAGACATTCCACCAGTGTCATGCAAGTATACTTCCACTGAACGGAGGTTTAATCTTACTTGGCTTTACTGAGATCTACAGTATGTCGAATTTGTAGATTGATACCTTTATAGACCTTTTATGTATAATTCCATTATGTCAGGGCATAAGTTTATATCTTTTTATGTTCTAGCTGTTAAGGACTCACAGCATTATATTTTGTGTTTTCTTATAATTACCTTAAAATAATCCTCTTTTTATTGAGTAAAATTTTGATGTCTCGGATCATGTGTATGTTCCTTCTCAAGAGACATTGTATTCACCACATATTTAAAACTCTGCAATCGTATCAGACTTTTACATCGTTTTTACATAAACCTAGAGGTGGTTAAGATCTTTCTGACAACCAGTGACATTGTAGCATGTAATACAATGTTCTGCTGCTTACCATTTCCTTTTCACAAAAAGGATATTCATCTATTAATGTGGAATTTGCACAGTACACATACTGTTTCAATAAGCATTTCCAAAATTGTATGTGGGGATTTTTTCCCCAGTATAAATTATTGATGACTTCTAAATATGTCTTTTTTTGTTGTTAACATTACACTTAATTCAGAAACAAATAATTAATGTATCAAACAGTTCCTGATATTGTTATATAGTTATGTACTTTTTATACAATTTACCAGTAAAAACTCTTCCTTTTGAATGAAGAATTCATATTTTTATACACACCTCTAAGGAGCAACTGTTTTATGTTCACAAATGTTATTGTTACATAACAAACAGCTTTATCCTATTTTAATCACTTCCAACGCATTTTGGGGTCCCTAGGACTGATGACTCAAAGCAAAAAAATCCTTATAAATGGCTTCCATTGAAAGAAGATTCTACAAAAGATGACGGGAAGGTAAAAGTGAAAAGGCTGCCTTCTCCATCTCATGATGAGGACATTAAAAAGGTGACAAAGGAGTTCTGTGACTGGGTTGTTTCTTTGGTAAGTGTCACTGTTCATGACTGTACTTCTGTATGAAATTGCTCCAAAATCACTGATTCTGCTGTGTTTTATCCTAAATATGAAGGTGTTTTTCATTTGTGAAAAATCTGAAAATGAATCTGAGTTACGGCCAACAATATATTGTAGTACAAAACAAGGTGAAAATATTTTATACATTTTAAAAATGTATAGGTTTTGAGTATTCATAGTTCGCTTTTTCCTCTGTCTTCACTGTTGACATTTTCAATGTTTCTGTTAAAAGCTGTTAGACTCCTCCCTTGTTCTGTTCAGTAGAAATCTGTTCAATAATTGTTTTACAAAAAATGTTGAGGAGTGTGCTTCTGTCATTGTGAGTAAGCTCTAGTTTAAAAATTGGAGAACAATGGGGCAGACTCAATGTAAGTGTGCTCACGCTGTTCAGGATGGATCCTGCAGCCTGGAAATGTACTACTAAGACTATAGACTATGTTTGTGTTGACATGTGCAAAATAAAATGTGTCTGCCATAAATGGCATGTGTCTGTAGTATTGAGTAAAATTGTACTCAGCTACTTTTAATACCTGTTTGAATCCTTTAAATTTAAAATCTATCTTAAAGTGAGGCACACGAGTTTACAGTACATTTAAATCCACAGAAGAGACATGCACAGTCTCCTGGATATTGGGTTAACGGAATGTCTTGTGACAGAAGACCTTACAGATTTTGTGCATGTGTGTGTTGGTGGGGGGGGGGGGTTACATTTAAGTTTTTTTTGTTGAAGACGCAGCCGCGTTTTCTAGAGAACTACTAAAACGGTTGCACTTCGCAGGGAGGAGAGAGCAATAACATTGACGAGCCCACTCTCGTGAGCCTTTTTGGCAGTGGCTACGAGATCAAGCCCCCCTTCACAGTTCCCATCCAGGTGGTGGAACTGAACAGTGTTCCTGCAGAGCTCCGGATGTCTGTGGAAGAACTACCTCGGGAGACTGCATCCGAAACAAAGTTTTCAAGAGATATCAAAGCAGAGAAGGTAGGATCACCCTCATGAATATTCCGTAATAAACTCTAATGAGCAGCTACCAGTGATATCAGCTGAGAGTTTGTTTGGCTTGGCTTCTCACAGGTCAGCCATTATTATACATGTACATGAAAGCTATATCTTGCTGAAGGTTATGAGTCTCTGCTCGTGCGTGCTCTGTGGAGGACCAGTTCATGTGGGTTTCATTTATTGTTACAGCTTCAGGAATTACTAATATTTTTGATTTTTTTAAACTTGAGATATGAGTATACATGGTCTTTTATAGTGTAAGAAGTTCACATCCATCCTCATAAATTTTATTCCTGTTTTAAAAAAGTGCTTATAAGTAAATCAAATTTGTATTTAAAGTTTTTATTTTGTTCTTTCATTGACACCAAAATCTGGTGGAAATCGCATACTTTCATTGAGAATGATTGTATGTCAGAAATGTCATTTTTATAAAAGAATTACTGCAGAAAAAAGTTAAAACATGCTGGTTTCTGTTGGATAAATAGAAATGAGTCCCGAAGCATTACTTAAGTGAATATTTCAGTACTGTAATGGAGTATGCTACAATTAAACAGCCTTAAAGATTGTGCAGTACTAGTTTCATCTGAGCATGTGATCTTACAGTAAATTGAAACTGGAACTATGAAATGCTCACAATTTTCCAGTAGAGGGGAAAGTGCTTAAGGCTGAACCTAACTTCAAAGTGTTAAATAACTCAATTTGAATTTTGAAAGAAGGCAAAAATGAACACAATTTAAAAACAGTAGCAACATAATAAATATCAGCCAGACAGTTGCCTTTATGAAAAAAAAATGACTATTTTAATTGTCACCTGTAGGTGTCAGTAAAAGATATTAAATGATCACTATTGAAATGTGACACAGGTCATAAAGCACAATACTAAGGTGTTGATGGTTGGGGGCACATTACTTGTTGAGCAGCCTAACTGCAGTTGGGAAGAAGCTGATCTTGAAACGGGAAGTTTTGGATGTCAGTGATCTGAAACGTCTACCTGAGGGGAGCAGCTGAAATAAGTCGTGCGCAGGGTGAGATGGATCCGCAATAATCTTGTTAGCGCATATAGTGGTACTGTACGTTGCGTGTACAAGGATTCAACTGAAGAGAGAGCGATCTTTGAGGCCTACAGTAGGTAACAATGCGTTGAAGTCTTTTCCTTGTTAGGATGTCCGTGTTTCCATACCACACAGAGATAGAAGACATCAGAATGCTCTCTATAATGCATGTTGATTTAAAATAAAGAGTGGTTCTGAAGTTAGTGTAGGTTGTTTCTTTGTTTGGGGAAATATTTGAGACCGGAGATGAAGTAAACAAAACACCTGAATAATAAATGCCATCATAGTAAAACACAAACACCTGAACATACTGTACTTCCATACGCCTCAGCACGTTGATTGTGTTTGTGCTAATTGCAGCTCATATTGCGGAAAATACCTTAATCTATGGTAAACTTTCAGTATGTGATCGCTTCAAAGCATTTGAATATTGCATTTTTATGTCACTTTTTTATAGACGTCATGTGGGGTGAAGATAAAATATGGAGCATGGTATCTAGATCCTAAAACATGGAAAAAAAGAAATGCAGATGAACCGCTAGAAGATCCAAAGATAATCTCTGAAGAAAAGCAGTTTTCAATGAATCAACCAAGTGAAAAGGTGATCTTATCTGCTGTGCTGGTTCAAGCCTCTCATTTCTTACACTGAATTTTCTCTTCCTTTGGAACTTAGTGATCAGTGTAAAAGCTGACTAGTGTGATATCTCAGTATAGATCATGGTTTATGTTTAAAAAGACTAATATCCTGTATATATAAAATCATGAGTTAAACATTTCCAGTTATTTTATAAAATGCTTTCTTCTTTGTTAATTTAGCACTTCATTCATTTAAAACCCACTGTAATGGCTATAGATAGATACTATGATGATGTTTTGCTGATGTTTTTTCAAAGGTTGTTTTAAAGCAGATAAGTAGAATTTTGAGAATTATGGAAACTGTAGACACTGAGATTAATTTTGTTTACCCATAAATGTAAACAATGTTAATGTTAATAATAATAATAATAATAATAATAATAATAAACTTTATTTTATATAGCGCCTTTAAAGGTGGCTTCTCAAAGCGCTTTACAGGATGACAATAACAATAAATAAGAAGACTACAACAATAAATAAGAAAATTTCACAAGACAGGACACAATTATAATTACAACAATACAACAATAACAATAGATGTTAATAATGTTATTAATAATAATAATGTTAATAATGTTAAATAAATATACCAAATGTTATATACAGTACATTCTGATTATTCTTACCAGATTTAAAAAATGTATGAAGTTACGAAGAAAAACATGTAATCTCAGTTCAGTCCAATTTATTTGTGATATGCACAAGTGCAATTAAATGCTTACAGTATCTTTTACTTTAACCACATTCATGAATTGTACAGTGAATAGTTTAGCCAATTGTGAAAACTACTTCATTCTGTCACAGGCATCTAAATCCATTGGTTCTCATGCCTTGGTTTAAATTCAAGATAACATCATTTCACTTGACCATAAGAGAAACTGCACAGAAGTGTCAGAAGACTGCAGTGCAGGGCTGTGAAGTCCTTGACCTCCCTTTCCTCTCAAGGAGAGACTAGATCTTAATCCCATACATACATAGGATTGTTAATCCCTTTAGTCCAAGGGTCATTCACATTTTCTCACCTAATGTTCTAATGTTCTCTTTGTCTGAGAGGCTTATGAGAGCTACAGCTTTCAAAGGTTGTGAGCTGATGTTTTTAGATGTGTAACTAAGCTATTTGAACCTAAAGATGTCTAAAATGCTCGAATAATAATTAGCACGCCTTCCATTATTGGCACGCAAAGTGGTTTTTAATAACACGTGCTGCAGTAAAGGTCTAATAAATCACAAAGAAATTAAGTTAAAAAATGCTAAAACCTATACTTGATTGTTCTGTCATTCTAGTGTAGATAGATCTTATTGATAATGATATTGGCATGATTCTGGTTATAAAAAATATATAATGATTCTGCAAACATTTAATAAGAAATCTTATAAAATTGCTCTTTCATGTGACCACCATTTAAAAAGTCAGAACTTTTTAGATGAATCCACATGAGCATATGTAAAAAGCTTTTCAAATTAAAATAAATTAAAGGACTCCTGGTCCTTATTATTAATTTATTATTTATTTCATTTGTAGTTATAAATATATTTCCCTCCATGTTCTTGGTTTTGCTTAGTAAATGTAAATTATCCTTTCCAAAGAGGTGTTGAAAACAATCTGTGGTAAATTTTCAAGAGCTGATGTTTTTTCAAAGGTTGTTTTAAAGCAGATAAGTAGAATTTTGAGAATTATGGAAACTGTAGACACTGAGATTAATTTTGTTTACCCATAACCATGGGTTAATTGGTCTGTTGCTTGGTTTCTACACACCGCTGATAACACAAGCAGTGCCTGTAAATCACGTGACTGTTCTTTATCCTCATATGAAGGATGAAGAGTTGAAGCAGATGCATGGGACACTGGCCTTCAAGCAGTTCATTCTCAACAAAGGAATGCGGGAGCCAATGGTGAGAACAGAGGCACATTTTCATCTCACTTTATACAACACCAACTGCCATTGATGAGGCTTATGAAGGGCTTCAGGTGTCTTCTTCAGGCTCAGCAGCTAAAGTATTGTATTCCTCCTTCTTATTTGAATAAGAAAATCAGAGTAGTTGTCCAACAGTAATTGTCCAAAAATGATAACTAGGTTGTTCAAAAGCATAGGCTACTTCCATATACACTATACTCTACAGTGTACATCCCTGCAATTTAAAAATCTTGTAACCTTCTTCCTGTGTCAAAGTGAATATGTATAAATACAATTACACTACAGAGACTTGTTGTGTTGTGTTATTTATCATGCTCATCTGAAGCTCTCTCTTTTCAGTTTCTCCAGAAGCTGTTTACACAAGAGGATGAAAAAGAAAAGTTCCAAAAGGATAGCAACAAAGCAAACAGAAACGGACCTGGTGCTCTCGGTTCAACAGCAACACATGCAAGACCAGCTTCATATTTGTAGCATGACTCTGTATTGATATTATTTGCAGTCTGTGCTTGTGACATTCCTCTTTGTTAAAATACACTCTTCATTAGCTCCTAAAAAAGTCTGTGTTGTGTTTATTGCGTACTTGTAATGCAAATCTGAATACATATTACTTAAAACCATAAATTGTATTTGTGTCTCTGGGATGACATTTCATAGAACTTGTTCTTGAAAGCACTGTCAGCAGTTCAACCAGCATTGCCACATACTGTACCAAACAGGTTCATTGTTTAACAAAGACATCTGTGTCTATTGATATGCAAGAATTAATAATGATTTTTTTCATGCATAATGAAGGATGATTCAAGGGAGACAATAATTTGCTCATCAGTCAACAAACTTTAGAGTCAAAGATCACAGGAAATGTCTGGTCTTGTTTTGGCTGCCAGCACTTTTCCTACACATCCTTTGCAACTGGATTCTTCTTCTGCCGTAGGGATGGGGGATGGTAATGTCTCCATAATCCTGCCTCCAGACTTGCAGGTCCCAGGTGTGGTGATCTCAGGATGTCTCCCTCCACCAGGTCAGAATAGGCTTTGGAAACATTCCCTGTATCTTTAAAGACTTCACCTGGCTAACTACTTTGTTAAATGTAACAGTTTCCATTTGCATGACTTTTTTTCCTTTTCTTAACTGTGTTTCAATTGTTACATTCTTTGTTAAACTCACAGTGCCTTTAAGACTTGTCATGACATGATGAGTTTGTATTAGATCATAAATGAGTGCAGCAGATCAGTAAATTAATTTGTGATTAACTGTAGCCTGTTGGGAACCCTGACATACTCCACCTTGAGATTATGAACACTTACTGAATTTCGACGATGAGGTCTACTGATTGATGTGTTCAGCCTTTTAGTTTAATTGCAAATTACACTAGGTAGTTGAAAATCATTTTCCCTCTGAGTGAAAAGCCTGCTCTTGCTCCTTAGAAAGAGAATGGAGAAAGATTATGCTAAACAACGAAAAACTGCTCTCTAGAGCAACTCGTACTATGAATCAGAACTAAGGACTAAGGACTTGATTGCGAATTCACTATTCAATATCAATTCAATATTGGCAAAAAAACAGTTTCACTGGTTCACTCCATTTTTTTTCAGCGAATTATGTCAATGCCCAGTGGAATAAATGATACAAAAGGTCAATTACACTTTCAGGGTTAAGGTAAGCAGTTAGAATCTTCTTTACCCTTTAATTACTTTCTTAAAGATATCTCCTCAAAGTATGTAATTTAAAAAGAGTGAGTCTCCTGAACATTTTTAAACAATACAATGGGAGAGGCCATTGCATGATTTTTCTATTAATACGTTTTTCATTGTCAGGATCAGCCATAAAAGAATGGAACTGAACAATTTTAGACATGTTAAGATGCTAGAACTATGGACACACCCACAGACCAGCAACGAGACCCTAAATCACATAAGTACAGTTTTTATTCCTCTAGCCATTCTTTCTGGGAGGGGGGGATCTCAACAGAGCTTCAGTCCAGTTTATCTCCTGTCACAGCTTGAAGAACAGACAGAGAACCTGCCTCACATAACGTTTTGTCTGGTCTGTTAATGTTCAGTAATATGTTTGTTCTGTAAATGTCTGTAAATGTGGTGTTAATGGTTTCAGCTTTGGCATCGGGCATGTCAAGAAAGCTCTTTGAATTTAAATTTAACCCATGGCCTCTGCCCGTGTGGTAATTGAGGGGTTTTTGGACGAACTGTGAGGACTGTCGTCTGCTGTACAGTTTGCGCGGAGGAGGATGGGATACGTTGACAGGGGAGGGATACAGACACAGAAGAGGCAAACAAAAACCATCTAACTCTGACTTAAACACTGACCATTATATGAATATCTAAAGTAAATATAGCCCGGGGCCGCTGCCCAGCAACCAGCTTCACTGCGTGAGACGTATTGTTTCTGCAAATTGAAAAACTCTTGTTCTAGCGAGGTGACAAACCCAGCTTTACTAGGTTTCGGCATTTTAATTTTTTTTTTGCGACTTTGTCAGTGGAGGGAGTATAGCTATCGAGGGTTTTACTTATGTGATGGTAATAAAGCCCAAACAACATTTTCCGTATCTCTTCAAGTATAGTTCAACCATCCTACAAAATACCAAGCCTGATTGCACCCCAGGTGTTATGGAATACTAATACGATTCTAATACTACTCTAATAAATATCGATCAATCCTGGTAATTCATAAAAACGGCGTGTGCAGAGAATATTTTAACATACGATATCTGGCGAATTAAGTGACTGCATCCAGTGATTTAATACACACCAATATAAACGTTGAAATGGCCCACGGTTTTTGTCTTATTTATCTGTGAACTTCGAATAAAAGTCCCCGTGTTTCTTGCTGACGCACGATGGTCAAGAGGCCAGCGACCCTGCCC